TGTACGTGGTCGGTATATCCTGATGGGCTGAATACCGAACCGTATTTATTTGTGGGTTATGGATCGTTATCAAATCGAGTCCCTTGGCCGACCTGGCTTTATGTGGACTGGTGCCCATATATTGAAAGTTGTTGATATGTTTGTATCACCTGGCAATTCCAGTTTGAAAGAATTATCTTTGATCCTTTCCAATACCTTATATGACCCATGTAAGAACCTAAAATTTTGAGAAGGTTGACTTTTAGTCAAAGATCGACCAAAATGGAAATTTGGTCATTTATGAGAATGATATGAGAAAATGAAGTTGTAACTTCACGAAAATGACCAAGAAGAGTTTAAGTCACTTAGAAGAAGTTATATGAGTAAGATTAAGAGAAAAGAATGCATGAGAAGATGCATTTATGGTTAAAAGGGTAAAATGGGAATTTTATGTTTTTGGGCCAAGTTTATGACTTAATAGATGAAGACCCATATTTAATCAGTAAGAAGTGAATTAATAGATGTGTCGAGTATGTTCCCACCTTTGCGTGGATATAAAGAACATCGAAAACAGATAAGAAACAAAGAAGATATGAGGATTAGAAGTTGGGACAAAAATGTCCCAAAGTTGGAATGGAATCAGCTAAGGTAAATGTTGACAAGTAGTTTCTGCGACGCAAAAAATATATATCGCGGCACAGAAAGCAGTTTTAGAGGCCATTGACTTCGGGTCAAGTGGTCTCCACGACGCGGAAACAAGACAGATTAAGAGTTGTTAAGCGCTTCATTCTCGTCATTTTGCACCTAAACACCATAAAATTTTATAAAAATTTAAACTTTTTCAAACCAACCAAAATCATAATTGTTTACATTGTAGTTTTCAAAACAAGTTTGACATCAAAGTTTTTCCTAAAATCACACAAACATAACATGATAAGGTGCACGATCAAGCCTTTGCCTTCCCATGATCATCTAAGGTACCTAAAACATAAACCAAAACTGTAAGCCCAACGCTAAGTGAGTTTCCCCAAAATACCACCACAACACATAATCATAGATATTACAGCAACAACATGCATACAGAACTTTCAGCATGTCTGGACCGCCGCACTGGGCCTTCAGCATGTCTGGACCATTCTTCGGGCCTTCAGCCTGACCGGTCCGCCTCACAGGCCTTCAGTTTATCTGGGCCGCCCTGGGTCTGTTGGCCTTCTACACACAGCAGGACCGCCTCAACCCAACCAACCATCACATATACACATATAACATAATCAAACATAGCTAGCATATACAAGTAGTCATACAGGTCTAGCAGATCACTATAGCATAGAAAGCATACAATAAACTAGGATAACAATCCAAAAGGGTCGACATTGGTGCCTTCAGCCCGAGAGTACAGTAAGGACAACTCACCTCACTCTGACGAATCGCACTAAAAACCTCCGGCTGCTAGCGCACAAAATCCTCGAACTATCACAACCAATAAACATCCAATTAATAATTGGATTACCATTCTTGACTAATAACCCATTCTTAGATTAAATGGCCACTTCACCCTTTCCCTAATTGGACGAAGACCCAGGCCCAATTCTTGATCCAAAAGCCCAAGGTTATTCAAGACCCTTAATTGGCCCAAATTTCCAAATTGGGCCCAAACTCCCTTTTTGGGCCTTACCCTAAGGTCCAACCCTTCACTTGGCCCAAAACACTCCTACTCAGATAGTTCAATAAGGGCCCAAGCATCTAAAGCCCAAGAGTTGGCCCAAAACTTGAAGCCCAAAATCCAAAGTCCAACAGAAGGCGTACGTGGGGCGTACATCGAGCCTCGCATTGACACACAACGGGGTGGCTGACCAAGTACGCGGGGCGTACTCCCCCTTACACGAGGCGTACCCTCGTAGATCCAAAAGTCTCATTTTATGCTTAATGGCTTAAGCACTTAATCTCAAACTACAAATCCATGGTCCAAATACACCCTAGAGTCATAAAAGTCTCCAACTTTATGACTTTACACGTCCAAAAGTTCTTAATACAAGGTCTTAATCCATTAAGACCCTTCTACCAAATGCATGGGACACTTCTAGCCATTGGGACCTCATTTTTATGACTATGGACCCTTCCAAGGGTCTGAAAGGACGACTCAAAACATCTAGGGCATGACATGCTCAAGATGGAGCATTTGGGACCAAAAAGAAACATAAAAAGGCCCAAACATGAGATCTATCAAGTAAACCATAAAGGTATGAACTTTATACCTTTAGATGGTGGAGAAGAGAGCCAAACTTCCAGATCTACTCCTTGCCTCAAGCTTCGAAGCTTCTTAATGCACTTCTCCTTCCTCTAAAACACCAAGAACACACTTTAGGGCTCTCATTCTCACTCTAGGAGGCTAGGGTTTTGCAAAAACGTCTATAAGACTAGAGGCTGAAAAGGTGGGGATAAATGAGCCATAAGGAGGCTTAAATACCCCACAAACCCTAAAACTTAGGGTTACCATCAGACAAGAGTACGACCAGCGTACATACATGTACGCCCAGCGTGCTAAGGTACGCCCTAGTACGCACAGCATACCCATATGTATGCTTAGCGTACTTCTCCTAGCCCCAAATTTACAAATTTGCCACTAGGGCTTCCCATGATTACTTCCGTCAAATCCAAGGGCCAAAAATAGCATACATTAAAACCAATGGATGAATTTATAAATACCTGAATTCTCGGGATGTTACATATTGGGCGGTTGGTTGAGGCGGTCTTGCGCTGTACGGTAGGCCAAGATACTCGGGTGGGTCAGCGGTGTGTTGTAGGCCAAATGTAGAACGATTGTACGTTGTGAGGGAGCGGTCCAAGCATGTTGTAGGCCTTGCGAGGCGGGCCAAACAGATTGAAGGGTCATGTGTGCATGCATTGTATGTATATTGTGGTGTGTGGTATTTTGTGGGAACTCACTAAGTTTTGGCTTACAGTTGCATTAAATTTTTTTTCAGGTACCATTGATGATTGTGGGAAGGCAAAGACGTGACTATACACACTCATCAGTAGCAGTGGAGATTCCAAATTTTTTACATTACTCTGATTTTAAAACAATTGTATTTTGAAACAAATGGTTTTCTTAACTTTGGTTTTATGAACATGATGTTTTACCTTAATTAAAATCGAAAAATTATGTTGTGAAAATGGGACGTTACAGGTCTATTTGATTAGATGTAATACAATAAAGATAGTATACAATGGAGATATAATGGAATAAGAAAGATAGCATAATGATTCATGAATTTTTTTTGTTATATCTATATACAATCTATAGTTTTACCTCTATGTTATACATATTTAACTTTTTTATTAATATATTCAAAAAGCTAAACATGATAAAAGTTTATTAAAACCCAAAAAAAATTATAATTAAAAAAAGTTATTTTATAGTTAATAAAATAGTAATCTATTTAAAATTGTGAAATCCCCATAAAAAAAAGGTTTTTGTGGATAGAACTACCTAAATACAAGTGCATTATATTAAGCCATAATCTTTATTTCCATTTCCTAGTGAAATGAAAATAATAATAATAATAATAATAATAATAATAAAACCTATTAGCTAAGGTTTAAGGAAAAAAATATTAAAATAATGGAAGGAAACACATTCCTTCAAGAACAGTCCATTCCATTTCATCACGCCACATAAACAATTTTTATTCATTTCAATAGAATGAATCATTCCATTTCTTCTCTTATTCCCCCACACGAACAAGTTTTTGTGCTATTTGGTTTGCAAAATGTTTCTAAATGAATTGTAATTGGAAATGGAAAATGAATCTCTCAGGAATTTGAATCCAATTCCATATGGCAGTAGATGGAATTAGAATTGATTCCCGATTCTGGTGGTGGTGGTGGTGGTGGTGGTGGTGGTGACGGTTGGTGGTTAGTAGCAATAATTGTGGGTGTTGGTTTTACGATACGTAATGAGGGTATTTTGTAATTTGTCACTTTCCTTTATGATAAATGATATTTCTCACCCAACTTTGGAAGGAATCCATTTTTCTCCGTATGGTGGAAAATTTATTTCATTTAGGAATCTCTTTCGCTCTTCTAAGTCCAACCAAACACATGAATTTGAGGGAATTTGAATCTTTTTCCCTCAAATTCAATTGTTTTCCTGCCAACCAAACGAAGTATGATCATTTGATGAAAGAGCTAAATGTAGTATAACTAATAGGTGGGCGCAATTTCTACAAATGGAGAACAGGAGATTGGTGAGCTAATTGCAAAGGCCATGGAGAAGGTTGGAAAAGAGAGTCTCATTGCAATTCAAGTAAGTTGCACTTTTTAGTCCTTTATATGATTCAAAAGGTGTCATTTAAATGATTAAAATTGATTTAGTTGCAATATTTTATACTAGTTGTTGCATTAAACCAATGAAGGATGAAAAGACATTGTACAATGAGTTAGAAGTTGGAGGAATGAAAATGGACTGAGGCTACATATCTCCACATTTCATCATAAATCAAAAGAACCAAAAAAGCATGAGTTTTAGTTTTTTGAAAATTATCCTACCATATTTTATATCTTTTCACCTTATTTATGAACAAAACTATTAACCGCATGACACAAACAGGAACTAGAAGACCCACTTGTTCTAATCCATGAAAAAAGAGTTCAACCATTAATGCATTGATCAAAGTGATAGAATTAGTACTAAAGGTAGAGTCTCATAATTTCTTATATGTTATAATTTGGTTTTATATCTCTCTATCTAGGTAATGTATTTTACTTTGTATTTCTTTGATATGCAGCTTATTACCAAAGAACTTGGTATGAACCTCGAGAACATGGAGTTACAAATGCTTGGCTCTTGTAAAAAGGTTTGCTATATTTTCTATCAAAAATACATATGAAGTAATAATAATTGATATTATTTATTATTAACTCTTCTAATATTTCATGGCATTTAATTTGTAAACAAACTTTTTGAAGTGATAAACAAGCTTTTTTTTTACTATCTGAAATACTTATACAATATATTATAAATCCACAAGCACTTATGCAACACAAAATGCATATTAAAATTCTATGAAGTATGAAGTCTCAAGCATACCTATAAAGATAATCAACTCTATTTATCCCTAGAGTTATCCCTAAAGACTAAATGTAACATGAAACATTACAAGACCACACAAAATATGACTTATTTCATTCAGTCACTTCCTACAAACCATAAACAAACAAACCCTTTGAGTTCAATTACTCATTTACCCTTTCGCTTTTGCATCCCACCACAATCACTACAATACCATTTCCCTTTCGGTTGCTCTTTCAAACCAACACACCCGTAATGAAACCACTCAATCTTGCACTGCAATTAAAACAAATAATCATCTCATTAATTAATATCCTATTAATTAATTAATAGATATGAAACAAATACATACATCAGGATTGTCACATGCCACCATCTCCCCATAGCTCACTTGGTTGCAGAAACAATATGTTGGTTCATTAGGATCCACGGGTAGATCCAAATCCATACTCGGTGCATTTGCAGCTGCTGCCGCCGCTGTGGCGGCTGCCCCACCTACCCGACTCCTGAATGGAAACAAACAATTTTCATGTACACAGTACACAGTACACAGTGTTTGGCATGCATTGGACTGATGTAAGTGGGACAAAAGCTGCAACTTTTTTGTTCAATCTAAAAAGGTGGGACATGGACTAGCTAAGTATCCATCTATTGTCTGTGCAAAAAGACGTGAATGCCCTCCACATCACTATTCTTGAAAAAAGAGCTAGAAAGTTTGTTTAGTCATGTCCCATGTAACAAATGATGACTAAAAATATATTCAAGAAAACATAAGTTTGCATAACAAAAAAATATTTACTTTTTTCGTCCTCCTCTACCACCTTCACTCTTTCCTGTTTTCCCATTGCCATCAGGGTTCAAACCAGTTGATCCAGCTGCAGCAGCATTATCCTTTTCTGCCATAACCATTAAATGTCAGAAGCCAAATGTGAAACTGTGTGTGTGTATGTGTGTGTGTGTGTTGACAGATACTAAAAGGAAGAAGAAATTACCACGGCGTTGTTCTTCTAGTTTTTTGAGATACTGATCAAGTTGTTGAATATGAGCATCCACCTGAAATGAGATTTAAAAGATTGTTGCCTGTTTTGGTGAAAATGAATATGTAAGAGAGAGGAAAAGAGTGATGAAATGGTACCAAATCATATGCTTGAACAGCAAGAGCAACTTTTTCATCAGCAATTCTGATAGCATGTTTTTGCTCATCTTGTGCCTCATCTGAGAATTTATTAAGTGAAGTACCTGGTGCAATGTTTCCAGATTTAACTCCCTCTTTAAATCCCTCTATTTCCTGTAGGCAATGTAATTCATTTTGCCTTTGAATATCTGCAGATAGTAGGGATCCATGAAAATATATCGATTCAGTTAGTTATATACTTATATCTTATAATGATACTGAATAACATTTGATATATGTACATAAGCTAAAAGTATACCTTGCAAACTTTTATCCAAGTCACGTAATAATGCGTACTTCCTTTGTAAAATGTTTGGCAATGGCTCCAAACCTGAATGAAGGAAAGAAATTAATGGACTTGTTACAGACAACCTGATAATCAATGATGTTATGAAGTGTTATTTGCCTTAACAATGAGATTAGTTCCTAAAGTTTCATTTAAAGCGTACTATTTGTCAATTTTGTTCAAATTGATGTCTTATTTACATCGAACATTAAAACACAGAATCGAACTAAACACACAAACGCACAAGCAGAATCCAATATGCGTAGTTCATTGACTATCAGAATATCCAGATAAGTTTATTTCTATGACACCTTAGTAAAACCCCTAAAATAAAAAACTAGGGTTCGAGTGAATTTTAGTTTTTTGTCGATCAATCTGGAAATTCATGAGGAGGTAAATCTTTTGCTAAGAGAAGATATATTATTACAGTAGCAATTTGAATTAGAGAAGGGGAAGGAAGATAGGAGCTTACTGGCTTGAAAGTCCTCGAGAAACGACATTTTTTTGCGAAGGAAACTTTGGGGGAAAACTATGAGTCGTTGGCCGTTTGAAAGCGCGCCTAAAATTCAATCGTGCCCTAATGTAACGCTAACTATGGAATCGAACAACAAGACGAAAGTCACAAAGTGTTGGATGCTGAATCATCACCAAATTTCCTAATTGTTGCAATTTGATATTATCTTAGAATTCAATTTATGATGTGATCGGAGAGAATTTCTATCCAATAGATTATAGATGCGTTTTTCATAAATTGTTCAAAAAGAGTGTTGGGATATAGAAGGCTAGGTGTTTGATTTAAAAAAAAAAATTAAAAACAAAAAAAAAAGAGAAATTTTGGGGTTCAAAAGAGAATAGGTTTCTGAAATGAATAGTTAACGGGGTTGTTATTTTCGGAATATTATATTTCGATCTTAGGTTTAGATTTATGGGTGAACATATTAATCTAAAAACCGAACCAAAAGCAAGTTAATCGAAATAACCGAACCATTGCTACAAAAGATGATGCGGTTTCTATTTTTGATAATCAAATATATATGGTTCGGTTATGGTTTTCATCCAAAACCGAACCGAACCAATAATATTGATGAATGTTTTTAATATAATATAATATTAAATATATGTTATGTAATTATATTTAAAATTGAAAATATATAAGGTAAATATGTCGAATTAAATGGGATACCAGATCTTCAATCATATCAATAAGGTTATAAACATTGGATTGTTCATTTTTTTATAACAATGTACTTTATGTTTTTCAATATTTATAGCAAAGTATTTTTTATTTTTATCTCATTTTCGACCATTATGATTAACCAATATTAACCATTAACCGACAAAAAAGTTAACCAAAACCAATATTAACTAATACCCATTAGCTACCAAAATGCATTAACCACTTATAATTGTTTGGTTTTAGCAAAAGCCGAACCAAACCGCCTCGTACACACCCCTATCTAGATTACACGAAATCTAGATTATAAGGATAATCCTTCAAATAACAGTCTTATATCAAGACACTAATATAACGCCGTGAATTAGGGTTTATAGGATTCAAACTCTTTTGATACTAAGTACAAGTATCAATCAACATTAAATACCGACTTTATCATATAAATAACGGAAGATTGTTTCAAGGTAAATTATGAAAATAAAAATATATTCCGAAAATAAGATTTTTCATAACATTTTCCTTAACAAACAACCAGGGGGCTCTTAGACCCCGCTAGGGGGTTGACCCAAGACCCCGCAAGGAGATGCAACCCCCTTGACCTTGTCATTTGATCAAACTAGATCAAACTCGTTATATATAAGCATGCAATTCATATTTTCTAACTTGTAATAAAAACAAGATGTGAACTTAATTGTTAATCTGTAAATTCTATTATATTAAAATATCTGATGACATTAAAATCACCAACATAAAAATAACTTTAATAATGTTTTTATTTGATAAAAATAAAATTCAAATTTATTTATTTCTCATATCATTAAATTTGTTTGAGTGGTCAAAAAATACCATTGAAACTAGGATCAAGAGGTTGGTAATAATTGCTTGATGGGACACTTTTTTCGAGGTTTCTCTTAAAACAAAGGTTGGAAAAAATGTATGAGAAAGTCTGAAAATGTGTAATAAAATTTTCATTTTTTTCAAAAACACCATTGGTCATCAAATACCATTTTTCTTTTTGACTTTTTACATTAGATCTCTCTCTCTCTTTCTCTCTCGCTCTCTCTCTCTCTCATGTGTAATAAAGGAAGAACACATGTCAAAGTCTTACTAGCCACTTATGTAATCTTTTATATATCATCATGCTGGGTTTCTAACTCGCTTAACGTACTTTCCATTGTTTAATTTTTTCACGAACAAACCATTCTTCATGGCTTAGAAAAGTAGCTTTAAAGCTCCCATTTTGTTTGAATACATCACCAATATCAACATGACGAAACACTCGAAGAACCTTGCCCGGTGGTTTTCTTGTAATCCATAATCTTCAGTAACTTATCAAATTCATCGACCCCAAAAGTGTGTATATAATCACCAACTAAAGTTGTGTATGGATGATGTGTAAATGTTTTCCATGCCTATTGTAACATCTTGTCTTTTTATATCGAAAATAACATGTATAATAGGGGTTACTTGCCCTAATGTCATGTCCAACAAAAGAACGTCCCACATAAAAAAAACATAGAGATATAAATCAACATCTGTATATGAGGTATATAACAAGATACAAGAAACTATCACAAATATAAAGCGTACCGAAAGTACTGCTAAAAAACCATGAATGCCTAATGTTCTCCAAAACTAAAACCGGACTTCTAAAATATCCAAAAGATGTGCATCATTTTCCAAGGATTAACTAACTCACTTCTCATTTACACATATGGAATACATGTCAAATAAAATCATACTTAAGACAACATTGTCTTATAAGTACATGGGTTTACGACACAAAGTAGCATATCAAAACAAATACCAAGTAAAATACCATATTCATATTACAATATAAATATACAAGTGAGTAGATCATACCCTAATAATAATCATGTAACAAATGCCAAATACATAACAAGTCCAAAACAAACTTGCACTCCCCTTGAAATGCAATATATATATATATATATATATATAT